GACGTTCCTTGCCACTGTCGCCTTTGGCTTGCTTAGATGGGGACGCTTGACTGACTGATGGCACAGACACTATTGGAAGATAGCTGAACTGGATGATGACATCACTGAGTCATCAATGAACTGACTTTAGCTGAAAAATTACTCTTTGGTATTGTCTTCTTGCATTATTGACAAACTATTTTGACACTGTAAAGCTGCTTTGACACAATCAGAATTGTATAAAGCGCTATATAAATAAAGGTGACTTGGCTTGACTCGACACAACACAAACAGAATGACAGTGACAAGACAAGACACATAATAAAACTAATAAAAATAGGATAAGTAAATAGGAAATAACAATATACAAAAATATTTTTTTTAAAAACACAATATACATGTATGTTATGTACAAATGCAAGGAAATGTAAATAAGTATGTGTGTTAAATAAATAGATGTATAAATAGTGTTGTGACCTTAGAAAAGGTCAGAATGAGTGTGGGGTAGGGATGTGCATCTCCATAACTGAGGCCAAAGTCAAAAACATTAGATTATATATTGAAATTATCAGTTTTACTGTGCCACTAAACTGTTATAGATGCAATTTTTAAAAACTCTGGATCTTTTAAAAAGCTTACATTTGTAAATTATTACAGTTTCTGGGGGGACTGTAATATATAAATATGTATGTTTATGTATGTGCAATGCATTTTTGGACATATATGTCATGTACATGTGTATCCACCTTAAAACCTGTTGATATTATAGTAAATATAAAAGAAAACATGTATTTAAAAAAATATTACAAAAACATATTTATACATGGAGATTTTTTGTATACTGTTTGTTGTTTTCATAAAGTTGAATATATAAATGAAATATACATTGCTGACATATATAGTTGCTACATTCAATACCATTTTACATGTCATTTGTATGCAGGTTTGGAACAACCTGAGTGTGAGTAAATGATTTTCATTTTCAATTTTGCGTGAACTATCCCTTTAAGTTTTGATAATATAACAGTCATTTGAATGCAAGTTTTTGGTTGACAGACCACATACAGTACGACCAAATATGTTTACTTACAGTGGATGTTTATTGTGTAGTTCAGCACAAGTTCCTCTCCCAGGGTGTTGTGTTTCACCACACACTGGACGTTCTTCTTGTTAAAATGTTTGAGTGGGACACCAAGTAGGTAGGACACAACAGTAATGGTCCCACTGGGGTTCACTGTCCGATTGGTTTCAGTCCACAGAGAGTTTTCCAGATCTCCTAATCTCCACATCACTTCTGCTGCAGGTCGTGCATTAGAGGCAAAGCATGACGCCAACATCACCTCTAAATATCCAGCAACAGGTGCCTCCCCTTTCACGGTACCCACAGGACGAGCTACATTTGAAATTTATATATATATAAAAAAAAAAAATGAATTCAATGCATCATTCAGTGTAAACTGTGACTAAAGTAGCCCAGCCTACTCTTGGTAACAAAGCTACTAAACATTAGGGCTGGGTAAAAAATATCGATATCTCGATATTAATCGATTCTCATTTTTACTAGGGATGCGCCGATCCGATATTCATATCGGGTATCGGCTCCGATAGTGCCATTTTTCTCGCATCGGGTATCCGATTATCATGTACATGTATTTTATGGCTTGCAAACTTAAACATTTGAATTCCTGTGACATTTGGTTGTGAATTAGGCTTGATGCACATCGCAAGCATGAACGGCCCGTGAGCAGCTCGTATTTTTTTGGCGAGCATGTTAACAAATGAGTGAATTCACACTGGGAGCAGGTGTAACATGTGAGCAATTTTCCACGTACATATTGGGATTTATAAAAAATAAACTTGTCGTAAATATGTGCACACCGTACAGTCAAACGCAATTCCTGGAGAGCCGGAGCCCTGCAGAGTTTTGTTCCAACACACATACCATGTAGTTTTCAAATAAGCCTAAAGGACTTGATTAGTTGGATCAGGTGTGTTTAATTAGGGCTGAATTTAAACTCTGCAGGGCTCCGGCCCTAAAGGAATTGAGTTTGACACCCCTGGTCTAGACCATGTATATGCACACTTTTACTGGAGTGAGCGAAGTAATGAGTTAACTGAATGAGTTAAACTCTTTTGTACATTTGATATACACATTTAGATTAAATATGACACTCTCATTAATGGAGTTAAACACTGAAATTTCATGAAATCATTATCCAGAAGTATCCAAACAATAAATGAATTTATACATAATTGTAGCGAATGCGTTTGATCACTTTTCCTGTGGCATGCTTTGTTTTAATGACCGCGAGGAGTGCTAGGTGAACAATAACTCCCCTTTAAACTAAATTGCAGATCTTGTGTTCTGAGAAAATGTTTTTAGCAAGAACAATGTTCAATGATGCAATTAAAATTCTATTTGACCAGTGGGAAAGAATGAGAATAACTATTTTCAAAAAAACTTTCTCTTTGGTTTTTACAGATATTTTGATATATTTATTTTAAAACACGACAAGGAAACAATGATTTTGACAATGTAATGTGACGGCACAAATGGCATTTATAGTCTGTATCTCTCATTTTCCTAATGTCTTGTATCTTTGATGGTGTTAAACGGTGTCACGTGGATGCATGGAAATGATACGCAGGTTATGCATAGTAGGTGCTGTAAGTTCCATATATGGTTATTTCGGGGAGGAGATGGGGTGGAGACGCATGTACGCACAATCTTCTGCTGACTGGGATTTATAAAGGAAATTTAGTGGAGGTGCTGGCGTACGCATGGTTTTATAAATCTGAAAACTTTTGTGCATATGCAGAATCTAGCTTTTGTGTGTACACACACTTTTAGGATGAAAGGTACGGAAAGTTTTATACAAAAGGCCCCAGGCGTCCTGATATTTAGCCCTGGCAGGACAATCTGACATCCTACCCGTCAGACTGTCTTGTCAGGGCTTAAAAATCAAAATAGCCCTGCTGCAAGGCATTTTAATAAATGTGATCACAAAATGACATTTTTTACACTTTGGGAATTGAACAGATCAATGGAAAATTTATTTAATTAATACTAGTTATATAAGAAAAAGGAAAGAGGCATTTTGGATTTTTAATCTTAAAGTCCTCATGAAATCAAAATGTACACTATTTACTGTATTAGCACACATTGCTAGTCTTGAGGTGAACAATTAATCCATGCAAGTTAATCCACTGAAAAAAAGTTGTTTGTTTTGGTTTAATCAAAATATGAACATCTGCTTCTACTCTGGAGTGGCATTCCTTCTCTGATGACGTCAGTTTGACAGCTTGGGCAGAGTATTCTTAACCACTCCCCTCCAACCGAGAGATGGAGAGGAGAAGCGCTAAAATAAAATCCCACCCTCTATTCAATATTCCAGTTCAGTTGGAAATATGTCACAATACTAAAATAAAGTCGGTAGCAACTTCCGGTTCACGCAGACTTTAAGAGCTTATCTTCAAACGGCATGAATCTCTTGTTTAAAGAATTCTTAAAATTATTGTCTAATTTTATTGTGTCTTGATGATGATTTGTCTGTCATTTTTGGAGACTGTTATCGTGTGTCATTATATTGAGGCTTGTGCATTTTAGGTTTCACGCTTCAGAAGTGTGACAATTTCCGGTAAGGGGGCATAGTAAATGTGCGTTCCGATTGACAGGGTCCCGACGCAGTGCTCATTTAGAATCCATTATGTATTTGTCCAAAAAAGATTTTACAACTTGTTTTACAATAAAATGTTTCCTTTTTCCCTTTTAATTCCCTTTTGTTTTAAAATGAAATAGAGTAGGTATAACAATTTTGAAGAAGTAAATTTAATTAAAATAACACCTGTTCATGTTTTTTTTATAGCGTTAAAACTCACCTCGGCAGCTATTTACCATTAAAGTTAAAGGTACAATAGGAGATCTTGGAAAATGCTAACTTTAGCCTGATAGCACTGAAAGCGAACGTCCCACCCTTC